CTGGCTTTGAACTCGAGATCCTCCTGCCTCAGCCTCTAAAGCTGCTGGGATTACAGGCATGTGCCACTGTGCCTGGCCATGTCAGTGTGTATGTTTAAAACTGGAGAACATACTTGGTATTAAAAAAAAAAAAGAAGGGAATAGTGAGTCAGTAGTATGTAGAACACTGTGATCAGAACATAATATTTACTAACCAGTAAAGAGGTTCAAAATAAGAAGGCAAACCCAGTATTATTCCATACTTAAAAACCAATAACAAAACTACAGTGTAGAGTATTATAATTCACAATTAATGAAAGGATACATAACATACATCAATGTATTAAAGATATCTCTTGATGGTAGTTTACTGGTGCTTTGTGTTTATATTCTCTGAAATTTTTGTAATGTTTTCATATTTCCTTGTAATGAAATTTGCTTTGAAATTAAAAACTGTATAATATATAAATCATTCATAGTCTCACCATATCATTTAATGATTTACTGCTAATCATTTTTCAAAGTCTATACTTCTAAAAAAGTTATAAAAGTAAAATTTAACTATAAAATCTTTTTTGTTATTAAAAGGAAGAAACAATTAGTGCTATTTCTCCGTGATAGCTGCCCCCATCCTGATCCCTTTTTGTCATTCCTGGAAGCAACCACTGCTGAACTGGTATGTGTTAATTCTTATTTCAACACTTTTATTTTATACATAGGTGTGCACCATTTTAAAAAAAAATCCAAAAATTAAAAAAAATGCTGTTTAAAAAATTTTAAGTGGTTTTGTGCAGCAGCTACTTTTCTCAATTAACTTTATATTGTATTGCTTTTAACTGTTCATTTATTTTAATTATTATTCCAGTATATATATGTGCCAATATTTTATTTACTGTTTTTCTACTTATACAAACTATTTTAACAGTATGAAATTATTACATCTCTTCCTGAACACATCTCTTAGAACAAAAACTAGTGTTTCTGGAGATATAACAAGCATTTTTCTGTTCTTACAGATATGCCCTCAGTGTGGTTTGTCCCATTCAGAATGTCCCAGTGATCAATTTCTCTAATTTTTATGAACATTTGATCTTGTCAAAATTTAGGCATTCTGCTAATTCTAGCAGGTGAAAACAATGCCTTTTTGTTTTACCTTGCATTTTCCTTATTATCAGCATCCTCTTCTCCAAAAATCATTTTTACTCTAAGTATTCTTTGACTAATTAGAATTCAATTACTCTTACAAGTTCATCATCTTTTCAATTAAAATTCACCTTTTATCTTCCTTTCATAAAGGAGGCATACTCTTCATTGTTTAAAAAAGCCGGTTGCAGTTTATCTCAAAATTCTTTTTAATCATCTTATTTTCAGAATATAATGCTTCTGTGAGCATACCACCAGGCCATGACTTTCTCTATGTGCTTCCCTGATTTAACATTTAGTACATTTTCTAGTAAAGCTAAATTAAAAACTATACCCTCTGAAATTATAAGTCCTACAAAGAAATGGCATGATGTAGTGACCATACCTGAAATTTCTTTAATGACAATATTCTCAAAATAACTTGGTCCTTAGCCTGAATCAATGACTGGCAGGTGAGAAGATGATAAAACAGACTCGATAAATTTTGACTCCTAAATATAGAGTTAATCTATAATTATCAATTGTAAGAATGGCTTTGTCCAAGTGACCCTAGGATATTCTTTCCTGTCTCTGAAGTACTTTTTCAAAAAAAAAAAAAAAAAAAAAAAAAAAA